ACCTGCAGGGAAAGGGGGAGAGGCCAGGGCAGCCAACATCTCCTTAACCATGTGAGGCAGGCAAAAGTGGTAGACTCTTGTGCTAATCGGAGACTTGCCACGTGGCCATAGTCAGCTGCAAGGGAGGCTGGGCAAAGCCATCCTTAATGGGGCAGCCATGTGCCCTGGAAAAGGAGAAGGGCATATTTGTACGGGACAACTAGAGTCTGCAAGGGTGGGCTGTGGAATCAGGAAAAAGAGGGGCTGACATGTGGTGGGGAGGGACAGATGTGGAAAGACCCTCATAGTGTGTGGTGACAGTGTTGTAATGAGAGTTTATGCAAAGGGAGAATGGAAAAAAGCCCAATTCCGTCTGCAGGCATCAGTGAAGCCCACCACAGGACGTGGAGCCAGCTAAGCTCTGAGGCCTGATTCAGCGGACAGAGCTCTCACCCCCAGGGGGCTCCTTTATTCACCATCCCCATTGTTTTGCGGGTTGGAGCTGTGTCTTTCCCAGGTCTCAAGCTTTCTTTTCTACCCCATCCCCCAGGCATCGTGGCCGTGGAGAAGGCTTCGTGGCAAGAAGCGGCCAGTGATAGCATTCTGCCTCCTGATGACTCTGTCTGCTGTGGCTGTCACCCGATTAACCCCACAGTATCCAGCTGGTGGTCCAGCCCCTGGTCCCCTGGAGCCCCAAGGGGTGACTGGTGCCCCTGTCCCCCATGTCAGGCAAGTTTTGAGCTCCAGCCGGAGGCAGCGGGCAAGAAACCTGGGATTCTGGAGAGGCCGGGCTTCGCCCAGGAATTCCATCTTGGTCTGTGCTGAGGAGCCAGGCCACAGAGCACACATGGACAGAAGCAGGGAGTCCCCAGGAGGGGACAGCAGGCCTCCAGGGAGGGTCAGAAGGGACATTACTTTGGCAGATGATCCAAGACTCAGTAGCCAGCATCTTGTGCTCCAGAGGGAGGATGAGGTCAGCAATGCGGGAGCCAAAGTCCTGGGCCACTCCCAGCACAGCAGTGCCATGCAAAAGACAGAGAGTGTGGTGGACGCCCTGGCCGGCCTATTTGCAGGGGGAGACATGGTGGCCTTAGGGGCTTGGACAACTACTGCTGCACTGACCCTCAGGCCCCATCTTGTAGAAGGCAGGGATCTGCCAGAAAGTGAGGACAGAGGCTTGACTGGCACACCACAAGCAGAGGACCCCATCCTGGCCTCAAGGACTCATCAGTGGCCTGGCTCTGTGGGGGAGCTGCAAGGGTCTGTATGGTGTAACACTGAGACCCCTGAGCTATTGACCAGCTTGAGGACTGGCAGGCAGGTTCCCCCATGGCTCACAGAACTTGACGTGCAGACCCTCCAGCTATTATCGCAGGGGGTGGTGGTGGGCAAAGCCAGGATCCCCGCTCATGGGCAGGTGCTACAGGTTGGCTTCTCCACTGAGGGTGCCCGTGAAGGCCTGTCTCCTCCCAGACTCAGCCAACTCTGCTCCCAGGGCCTCTGTGGCCTGATCAAGAGGCCTGGGGATCTGTTTGAGGTCCTGTCCTTTCACGTGGACCGAGTACTGGGGCTGCACAGGAGCCTGCCTGCTGTGGCCCGGCGCTTCCACAGCAACCTGCTGCCCTACCGCTACACAGATGGAGGTGCGAGACCTGTCATCTGGTGGGCACCTGATGTGCAGCACCTGAGTGACCCAGATGAGGACCAGAACTCTCTGGCCCTGGGCTGGCTGCAGTACCAGGCCCTCCTGGCACATGGCTGCCACCAGCCCAGCCAGGCTCCATGCCTGGGCATCCCGCACACAGAGTGGGCACGCCTGGCACTCTTTGACTTCCTGCTACAGGTAGGTAAGTTTGGCAGGGGAGTGGGGAGGCCTGAATTGCCATCTGAAGTTGGACGGTGACTCTCCTCCCAGTCCAGGTCTTTTGACCACCAAGTACCTGTTTTTGTAATTTTCTGCCTTTATTTACCATCCAAGGGTATGCTACAGCTGGCCCATTACAGCTCATAAGAGTTGACTGTGACAATTTTCAGTAATTTTGTGACCTGGTTGTGAGACACAGGCATTTTAATAGTTAAATTATATTAGTTAAATTATATTAAACTAACTAATGAATTATATTAGAAACAGAGGTAATAAATACTCAGAACCCATCACTTCTAAATATTTTACTACTTTTTTTGCTTTTTGATTGATTGATTGAGACAGGATCTCATTCCCTTGCCTCTGCTGGAGTGCAGTGGTACAATCATAGCTCTCAGCAGCTTCAAACTCCTGGCCTCAACCTATTTTACCACCTCAGCCTCCTGAGTAGGTGGGACTACAGGTGCACACCACCATGCCTGGCTAGTTTTTCTCTTTCTTTCTTTCTTTCTTTTTTTTGAGACAGAGTCTCATTCTGTCACCCTGGGTAGAGTGCCATGGCATCATCATAGTTCACAGCAACCACAAATTCTTGGGCACAGGTGATCCTCCTACCTCAGCCTCCCAAGTAGCTGGGACTACAGGTGCCTGCCACAATGGCCAGCTAGCTGTTCTATTTTTAGTAGAGATGGGATCTCACTTTTGCTCAGGCTGGCCTCAAATTCCTGAGCTCAAGCAATCCACCCATCTGAGCTTCAGTTTTTCTATTTTTTTGTGGAGAGGGATCTTTCTCTTGGTCAGCCTGGTCTCCAGACCTCAAGTGATCCTCTGCTTTGGCCTCCCCAAATGCTAGGATTATAGGCATGAGCTACTATGCACGGCCCATTTTACTATTGTCTGTGCTCTTGCAGTTACTTCTATCCATCGCATCTATACAGTGAATACTATACACATATGAAGGTGTGCTGTGCACACCTCTCCCCAATCCCACATTCATGGAATCTTGCTAGCTTAAAATTGGTCTGGGTGTGAGTGTTTATACCATGCATGTTAGCACACGCTATAAATCAGGGCTCTCCTCTACTCCCAGAGAGCTGATTATTAGACATTTACTAGCACCCCACTGTTGATAACTTTATGTCTTTGAATCAAAAAGGATTCAAAATGATTGCATAATTTAAGAAAGAAAGTGGGAGAGAGAAAATGAGTAGAATGTGGGAGAGAAAAAAAGGATACTGGGGCACTAAAGAATGACAAGGAACTCTGCTGGCTGAGGCTGCTGTGGAGCCAGGAGTTAACCCTGGAGTTGCTGGCCGAGGGGCAATGTGGGATCCTACAAAAGGGCTGGGCTGTCAGGGCACCTGTGAGCTGGATGTCAGTGTGGGTACACCTGTGTGGAAACAAGGCCAGACAGAAACAAGGGCAAAATATAAAGGAAGACCAGTAAGGGTGGAGAAGTGCGCTAAATGCCCACAGAGCCAGCCCTGAATTCTGCAGCAGCCCTTACTGAAGAGACGTTAGCCCTCAGCTTCCCCACGGAGGTGAGTGAACAGGCCATGGGACAAGATTTAGGGCAGCCAGGATCTGATATGCTGTGCTGAGGCCACACGTGTTGGTTCCCAATGTATTTTAGAAAATTCTGGCCCCTGTGCTGTGGCTGCTGCTCAACTAATGGGCTCCGACCCAGCGAGCTCCACGTCCCCATGTCTGTCCTCGACTAGAGGCCTCTGCCACGCATGGATTCAGCTGCAGAACCTGAGACCATGGCCAAACCAGCACAGGGTGCCAAGTACCAGGATTTCATTCATGACTTCCCAAACTTCGACCTCAGGCAGGATGCTGAGGCTCTGTACACCATCATGAAGGGCTTAGGCAGTGACAAGGAGGCCATACTGGAGCCAATCACCTCCCGGAGCAACAATCAGAGGCAGGAGATCTGCCAGAGCTACAAGTCCCTCTATGGTAAGGACCTCATTACTGACTTGAAGTATGAGCTGATGGGGAAGTTTGAATGGCTGATTGTGGGCCTAATGTAACCACTTGCCTATTTTGATGCCAAGGAGATTAAAGATGCCATCTCAGGCATTGGTACAGATGAGAAATGCCTCATTGAGATCTTGGCTTCCCGGACCAATGAGCAGATTCACCAGCTGGTAGCAGCATACAAAGATGTGTATGAGCAGGACCTGGAGTCTGATGTCATTGGAGACACCTCTGGCCACTTCTAGAAGATGCTTGTGGTCCTGCTCCAGGGAACCAGGGAGGAGGACGATGTAGTGAGTAAGGACCAGGTACAACAGGATGTCCAAGACCTGTATGAGGCAGGGGAACTGAAATGGGGGACAGATGAAGCCCAGTTCATTTACATCTTGGGAAATCGCAGCAAATAGCATCTTCGGTTGGTGTTTGATGAGTACCTGAAGATGACAGGAAAACCGATTAAAGCCAGCATCCGAGACGAGCTGTCCAGGGACTTTGAGAAGCTAATGCTGGCTGTGGTGAAATGTATCCAGAGCACTTCAGAGTATTTTACTGAAAGGCTCTTCAAGGCCATGAAGGTCCTGGGGACTCGGGACAACACCCTGATCTGCATCATGGTCTTCCAGAGCAAGCTGGACATGCTTGACATCCATGAGGTCTTCTGGACCAAGTATGAGAAGTCTCTCTACAGCAGGATCAAGAATGATACCTCTGGTGAGTACAAGAAGGCTCTGCTGAAGTTGTGTGGTGGAAATGATGATGCTGCTGGCCAGTTCTTCCTGGAGGCAGCTCAGGTGGCCTATCAGATGTGGGAACTTAGTGCAGTGTTGTGAGTAAAGCTGAAGGGAACTGTGCGCCCAGCCAATGACTTCAACCCTGATGCAGATGCCAAAGTGCTGCAGAAAGCCATGAAGGGACTTGGAACTGATGAAGTTACCATCATTGATATCATCACACACTGCAGCAATGCCCAGTGGCAGCAGATCCGGTAGACCTTCAAGTCTCACTTTGACCGGGACTTAATGGCTGACCTGAAGTCTGAGCTCTCTGGAGATCTGGCGAGGCTGATTCTGGGGCTCATGATGTCACCAGCCCACTATGATGCCAAGCAGTGGAAGAAGGACATGGAGGGAGCTGGCACAGATGAAAAGGCTCTTATCCAAATCCTGGCCACTCGGACCAATGTCAAAATCCAGGCCATCAATGAAGCCTATAAAGAGGACTATCACAAGTCCCTGGAGGATACCTTGAGCTCAGACACATCTGTCCACTTCAGGCGAATCCTCATTTCTCTAGTCACGGGGAACTGTGAAGAGGGAGGAGAAAACCGGGACCAGGCCCGGGAAGATGCCCAGGTGCCTGCTGAGATCTTGGAGATAGCCGACATGCCTAGTAGAGACAAAACTTCCTTAGAGACGCGTTTCATGACGGTTCTGTGCACCCGCAGCTACCTTCACCTCCAGAGAGTTTTCCAGGAGTTCATCAAGATGACCAATTATGATATAGATATAGATATAGAACACACCATCAAAAAGGAGATGTCCAGGGACATCAAGAATGCATTTGTGGCCATTGTTCAAAGTGTCAAGAATAAGCCCCTCTTCTTTGCTGATAAACCTTACAAGTCCATGAAGGGTGCTGGCACAGCTGAGAAGACGCTCACCAGGATCATGATCTCCCGGAGTGAGACTGACCTGCTCAATATCCGGCGGGAATTCATTGAGCACTATGACATGTCTCTTCATCAAGCCATTGAGGGCGATACCTCTGGAGACTTCCTGAAGGCGTTGTTGGTTCTCTGTGGAGGTGAGGACTAGGGCCACCAGCAGTGACAGGCACCGAGAAACAGTCAGCAGGCACCATGGCCAAGCCCAAATGTTCCAGTTCCAAAGCCTGAAGAAAGGGCAGGGTCAGGGGAGGGTTAGGGTTGGGCTCTTGTCTACAAGCAGGGCTTAGGAAAGTCTCCCACTCCCACAGGCCACTGAAGGCCCAGGACAGTCCTTCCTGCTCATGGCCAATTGGCTGAAGAACTGCAGCCATTCACCGTCCAATTCTTGTCCACCTCCACCCCCCTCTGACACTTAAGCCTTTCCCAGCTTCCTTACCTTGCCATAGCCTATGCCCTGGTTTGTCAAAACCAAAAACATACTGAGCCTCTGTCAAAAAAAGAAAATTCTTAGAGAATTTTCACTCTGGAGATTTCCCACGGAAGTCCAGCTTTGGAAAATCGGATGGTTTAGTAACAGTGGTCCTTCATCCCCAGGAGGCAGTCCTCAGTCATAGTCGCGACCCCCTTAAAGGCTGCTGTGCTCAGCCGTTGGCCACAGGCCCTACCTCCTTATTGTTCAAGGCCCACCAGCTCTCCCCCTGCCTTGAATGTCACCTGGCTGCCCACAGATGAGCTTGTTTCCAGTCGTGAGACTAGCTGACCAGCTGCAGTGCTCCCAGCTCCTCCACTCTGTGTCCCCACAGCTGCCTCATGGAAGGAGCAGTGGAGCCGTATTGTCAAGGCATCCAACAGACCTGGGTTTGGACCCCGCCCCTAGGCCACTTCCCATCTCCGCTGCTGAGCAGGTTACTTGGTCTCTGTCAGCTTCACTTTTCTCACCTCTATAATGGGACTGAGTGTCCCAGCCTCATCCCTTAGGGCTTGACCCTTTTAGGGCATGGTAGTTCCTAATGGTTGGCACCTGCACCTGCAGGCTTGCTCATGGCCTTGAAGCCTGCTCTGCCCTGAGTGTGACATGCTGGAAATAAAGGAGAAGTAACTCCTTCCAGGTAGGGTGACCAACATCCAGGTTGGAAAGGAGGGTTTCCCAGATCTTGATAGAGCTTTCAGTGCTGAAATTGGGACAGTTGTGGACAAATAGGGAAGGGTGGTCCTACTGCACGGGGAGCAGCCCTTAGCCGTGACTGGTGGGAGTCAGTGTGAAAGTGCCCTGTATGTACAACCTCCATGTCTCCCAGAGGTCTCTGATGGGACTGAAGCCCAGTCATCC